AAAAATTGTAAAAATAATAATATTGTAAAAAAATTATAAAAAAATAAAATAGTAAAAAATATTTAAAAAAATATAAAAATAAAAAACTACTTACACTGTCTTTTGCCCTACTGACACCAATTTTTGCTCTACTGACATGTGTGTTTGAGCTTTGGGGGGGGGGGGGGGCATCATTCCATAGGCTGTGCACACCTATGCACTGAATTAAGGACTTACCAACAACTGTAGGTTTCAACCCTGTGAAGCCACAGACTTGAGTTCTATACCCATAAAAGAGCCATTCTATAATTTCATATTATTTATTATGGGAGAAGGAGGTAGAATGATAGCTGATCATGGAATGATTGGAGGGGACAGGGCAAGCAACAAGAAAAATGATCACAAGAGAGGAGGGGATGGTGGATAGGTAGAAAGGAGGGATAGCTGACTATGGAAGAAAGTTAGAAGATAAGCCAGGGTGGCTGTCTCTGTGAAGGGATATGAGTCTGCAAGGGCCACTAAGGTTCAAGCAGTTAACCTGACAGTAAAATGTTGTGTAATCTATGCCATTCTGTAATGAGCTTAAAGCCTGGTACACATGATGAGAATATCATATGAATGATCATCTGATTTTTTTTTTTGCATGCTAGTCTCATATTGAAAAAGAAGAGGTTACTAAAGTTATGAAAATTTGCGTACGACAGAATACAACTTCAGAAGTGATGTCATGTATTATATTGTATTGCAATGTATTCTTTCATTTCCGAGCATACGCAGTCTTGGTCACGGACGAATACTGTACTGGTTAAACAAAAAACTTGGTATCGTGCAATAAAACTTTTTGTGCTTTCCTTTTAAATAATTTTGCATTAACTGTCATGATCGGCTCTCGAAAGCTGTGTACAAACAATCAGCTTATTGGACAATCGCTCCAAAAGTGGTATTTATTTAGATTTTCTCATTGTGCATACTAGGCTTTACTAGTGCCTGAAAGGTCTCAATGACATTTTTTACTTACCCTCTACTAAGTAAAGGGATAGCCCAAAACTGACATTTCCATTTTTGCAGCCACTGGAGAGGTAAATCCTTTGGCAATTTCTCTCGGAATCTCTGCTGATGAGATCTTGCACACCTGTTGTGGCCGTTACGAGAAACTCTCACTCTCCTTGATGGTTTTTTTTTTATTATTTTATTTTGTCAAGAATAATGCAACAGCAGATGCTGGAACACACAAAGGTGGGCAAGAACACTTATAACTGGTGGACAGGAGAAGTGTTGGCAATCACGGCACAGGGATCTAATTGTAAGAGTACCCAAGACATATAAGAAGCCAGGTAATTACTCTGCCCAACAGGCTCCACATACAACCAAATTATAGGGTTGCCACCTTTTCTTCAAGCCAAACCCGAACATTTTCATGGCAAACAGCAATTTCTTTTTAGTAGTTTGTACTATGCACATATTTTGTGATTAACCTCTTAGCGCTGGCCCCTCCCGGACCTTTAAGAGTTTCAGAAGCAAGGAGGCAGGCGGGGTTTTTAGGGTCATGTGACCGCTGTGATTCGCCATCTCGGCAGTCACATGATCGGAAAGGGGAGATCAGGACCTTTCCGTGAGTCTTGGATATATGACCTGGGAGCGCGCAGGGCGCGCACTCTCAACACATATGTATTTTCTAATTGAGCCCAACTATGCGTCTGCTCGGTGTCAAGGCCCAGACGCCGAGAGACCACATATTTGCGTGTGCTCGGTGTCAAAGGGTTAAATACCATGTCTAATCATATGGAGTTACACCTGTTACACTGGGTGCGACTTGGCATGCGATTTGCATCCCATGCAACTTGCAAATTCGTATGCCAAGTTGCTCCTTAATGTCCACAATTACAGCGGTCGTATCGGTGCGGTTCTGACTTGGTCGGAGCCGCACCGATTTCTAAAGTAGTACATGCGCACTATTTTTGGTGCGATTTGCATAGATATCTGTGTCAGATGTCTTGGAAATCACACCTGAAATCGGCATGTCCCCCGACTTTGAAATCGTGCAACTTCACTGTTATTAGCACAATTTCAAAGTCGGGCTTGATGTGACCGGGGTGTTAATCACAACTTTCCAAATGAGTTGCTGCAGAAAGACACTATGAGGGAGATTTACTAAAACTGGAGCAACCAGTCAATCAGAATTTGGTACAGCTGTGCACGGTAGCCAAGACCCCTTATATCAGCACCCGCATTACGCACCGCCATTAGCTTACAGTCCTCATATCAGTGCCCCTGTCCCCCCACTTCCAGACCACTAGAAAGAGACCCCCCTTTATGTCTATTCTCCTCGGCCCTCTATGACTTCTATTATTAGATGTCACACCTATGTACGTTGCATTTGAGCCGTTTCTGCATTGCCATTTTTGCACTTGTGTTTTTGCCACATTTTTTTTGATGTGGTTTGCATTTTCTTTTTCATTTTTTTTAATTTGTCTTGTTGCTGGGCAGATTTAAAATGCAAAAAGCATCAGAAACACGGCAAAAATGCAGCAAAAATGCAATACATGCTTTTCTGCAGCATTTACATTGATTTCTATTGAAACAAAAACGCTATTTTTTTGTATTCAAAAAAGTCCCTGACCCTTTCCAAAAAACGCACCAGGTGAAAACGCAGAGATGTGAACATGTTCCGTAGGAAATCATGTTAAATGGACTGTACTGCATTTCTGCAAAATGCAGCAGAAAACGCTTAGGTGTGAACCTAGGGTTACTCCTACAGACAGGACAGGAGGGACAGAGATTCTATCTACAGCATTCAGCACTGTGTGGGTGCCGGAGTTAGGGGGGTTGGAGGTGGGAGGCGGAGCGGCTCTAGGGCAGAAAATCCTATGTGTGCACAGCAGCTGGGCTAAAGCGTCATTGGTTGCTAGAACATCAAGCGGGGGGTGCAGCCGCAGGGGAGAAGGCAGAGAGGAGAGGACACAGGACAGACAGGCACAGCTGACTGCTGACAGGAGTCACTTTGGTTGAAGCTAGGAACGATACCCCCCCCCCCCGAGTAACCCCCCCCCCCCCAAGATCCCTCACTGGCTGCATGACTGAAGGTATGTTGTTGTATCCGGGTTTCAGGTTAACAGAAACCCGGGCACAAGTTCCAAAACCACCGGACTGTCCAGGTCAATCCCGTACAGGTGGCAACCCTACTAAAATACCACTTTTGGGGGTTCTTTCCTTTAATAAATGATGTTATTTAAAATAAACAAAACAATGGTGGTGCTGTATTTATTTTTAACTGTACAGTAAGGTGTGACTTGTATTATGTGGAATCGACTTTATTGAATAAGACACGGTAAACTAGGCGTGAGTGTACGTGACACAGAAGAACATCCCGAAGGGCTCCAGCTTATGCGGCTTAGAAATCCCAGGGTATTTTGTTTTGATTTAACCTTTATACAGGATAATTCAATAAGGAAATTGAGGGGAGAGAATCGCATATCCTGTGTTTCCTGATCGATTACAACAACAACATATCATACAACTCACGCTGATTGCTACCAGATATTCCACAACTGACCTGCCTGGATGAATATTGATCCAGGTGTTTTCTGGAAAATAACAATATTTGTACCAGTACAGGAAATTAATTATATTTTATTTAAAGGGATTTGTACTTTACTACAGAGAAATGAGCTTTTTACCCCATGTTCTTTACAATTTTACACACCCTATACATGTACCCAGTGAAGTGACTGGCCTCAGGTGATACACAGAGATGAAACAAATCCTCCTACATAAGTTGTACTTGTTTATCTGCAGTCTTTTTTTTCTCTACATCCATTCAAAGTGCTGAATTTTAAAGCCTGTCCGAGAGTTTAAAAAAAAAGGGGGTGGAGAGCTGAAATTACACTATGTAGAGCTCAGTGAGGCGAGCTCTGAGTGCTGATTGGAGGGAAGGGACACACCCCTCCACCCCGCACAGCTCAGAGGAACAGAGCTGAGGATGTCGATCAGCTGAAAGCCTCTCCCTTGTCACCATTTTTCTCTTGGTGTCAGGAAAACTTCTCAGAAGTGATTCATGCTGATAGCAGAGGAACGAGGCAGCAGACAGAAATGATACTTAGTGCTCTGGAGTGAAACAAGTACACACTATAATAGGATGTGCTTTGTTCATATGTAATCCTTGAGGGTTTACACTTTAATCAAATGTAAAAGATTGAGGTTGTCTTATGGAGGTAAAGAGTGATGCATTGTGGTGCCATTCATTTTGACCACAGTCATTGTGTAAATCTGTTGGGATGTCAATGATTTACACAATGTACTGTACCAAACTTGCCTTGTAGAGCACAAATGTGAACCATTTGTGACTTGTTGTGCCTGCATGTCCAGTTTTAATGCATGGCACAGCTTTGGCTGCTCATTTAAAAGGAATGGACTGCTTAACGCAACACACATTAAATGCTCGTTAACACAGATTTAAGTTTACCTAAATGCAAAACTCTTTTCAGTTTTGGATAGAGTGGAAATATATTAGAACATCCTAATTTTGGGTTGTCCCCAGAAAAGTAATGGAGGGGACATCTTCCAATGGGGATGCTAGTTCTGGTGACCTGGGGATCTGGTGACCTGGCAATATATTTCCTTAATGTGCAGAGATTTCCTCTCACATTCTGTTTTGGCTAGGGGACAGGAAGTGAAGGTAAATCTCCCCACAGATGGCAAAAGAAAACCTGACAGGGCTTATAACCCTCCCTTACTCTAACCGAAATGAAATGTTGCGTATAGTTCTACTTTTTAAAGTTGTTACCACATTAAACTGGGATGAATGGGCCCTAACATCTTACATTCCATGCTGCTAAAGATTATAAAAAACATACGTTTTTGAAAAAAAAGTGAAAGTTTAATCTTCCTATATTTTTGCCTTTCCTCTTTCACCCCCCAACCTCATCAACAAACCTTTCTGTTTTTTATTGCTTCTTTATTTTAGACCAAGTGATGTAATCACTGGGTCTTTTTGTTTTGCTTTGCAAGTACTGCATAATCATCTGTGAATGTTGTTTGCCAGTTTCAGTGGCGGACTGACCATTGGAGCACTCGGGCACTGCCCGAGGGCCCGGGGTCAGTAGGGGGGCCCCATAAAATGCCTCTAGTACCTTTTTATAGGCTTTTTTGGGTGTGTTTTGAGTGTGGGCAAGGACACAGGGGCCCCATGATCCCCAATTGCCCGGAGGCCCCATGAGTTGTCAGTCCGCCCCTGGCCAGTTTACGCCTCTTCATAAACTCTGTTACAGTGTGGTTGGAATGTTCTTGACAATACACTTCCTTGAAACCTTGGACTTCTGTATATCATTCCTTACCTGTTGGATGCCCACCACCCAGCCTCACTTCCGCCTACATATGATGTAAGTTGGAAGGTTATGCTCCATTCAGCAGTTGACGTGGACGGTGGAGTAGGAGCCACCATATCAGCACCGGGAGAAGCTTTGGCACTAGTTACCAAAGTCAAGGAGTGTAACATCTCCCTATTAGAGTGGTAGGAAATATTGGAGAGTGCTGTTTGCCTCTGTCAAGTACCCACTAGACTGATTGCAGAACTGGCTATCAAGTCCTTAGAGGATATTGCCCGCCAAGCAAGGTGCTACCAGAAGATGCATGAGCCAGCTAGAGAAAATTGTAGCTCAACTAGAGGGCCTGTTTGGGGAGAATGTGATCCTAACTGAGTGGAGACATAGGTTCTTCATCCGCAGTCAACAAGAGCACGAGTGCCCCATGCACTTTTGTTTAGCCCTGCAGAAGTTATGGAAGCGACTGGAGAAAAAAGACTTGCAAAGGTGTGCCGATATAGGTGCTCCAGACAAGCTTCTACAAAACCAGTTTATTGGAGGAGTGAGTGCGGGACTTTTCCGGCATGCCCTGCCGGCAAGGGTGAGGTCTCAATCTTCTCTTGCCTTGAATTATATAGTAGTGGTGCAGGCAATGGCCAGGGAACATGAGGATGGGGAAGCCAATGTGGCCATGACAAGAAAAAACCTATCTACATTAGAGAAGGGGCCTTAGTCCCTACTCCATTGTCAGCCCTACAGACCGCCATCCAATAGGTAACCCACAACATGGCATCCATGTAGCAAGAAATTACTGCAGTTAAACAGGAACTGGCTCAGAGGTCCAAGGGTGAGAATCTTTTGCAGAAGGATCCAGCTGAAACCTGGAGGTGCTGGCAGTGTGCTGTATACGGGCACCTGGCCAGGAGCTGTGGCCATTTGGAGAATAAGGGTACTCACCAGCAGTTAAACAAAAGGTTCCCGGGGCAGAGGGGAACCGGGCTCTAAGATCCCACAAGACAATAAGCCATGGTGGCCCACGTCCTGTGGTGACAAGCCCTGTAGTGACTGCCTGTAGTGAATGGACAATTGGTCCCTTCTTTGATCACTGAATCTGAAGTCACTATCATGGAATATGACCTTTACAGCATTTTGGGACTCAAGACCAACTAGGTCCATCCTGATTATCCCTGAAAACAGCCAACAACTTATTCTCCCATTCCTTCCCTCTTGGGTGCCCACCATCCAGCCTCACTTCCGCCTATGTGTGCAAGGAGTATTGACATAGCTGCCTACAGTCTCCGCTGGAAGTGTAAGTGACAGCAAAGAAGACAGGGACGAACTGTTGTCACCCAATACTGAACAGTGTGGAAGCAAGGCCCTTCTTAGCAGGTGGAAAAATGCAAATTTCAAATAAACTAAATTAAAATAAAAACAATGAATTAAATAAAAATGTCATTTGAAATGACATTTCAGTTAAATATTATATGTGATTTTAGTGAACAGGTTTACATCTACTTTAATTAACCCTTTTAGTAGCAGAAACTGAAGACACAGGAAGTTGTTTTATTTATTTTCATATCTGCAGATTCTTTATTGCTAAATCTACACAGTTCTCCAGAGTGAAAATGGGCAAAAAAGAACAATAAAAGCAACAATTACACAAACAGACCGCTGTACACAGATGTCCCTGAAGTTAATTCCAGATCAGCCAGTTGTCGGAAAATATCGGACGGATCTAAGAAAGGTAACTTCCAAATCTCTCTCACTTTATGCTAACCATGGGCCTTGGGGCTTATATTAAACAGAACAAATCAAACTCCTTTGCCTCAACTCTTATTGCCACTGCTGTGCTCTGCAAGAGCTTCACCGAGCTATGCTTTGTTTTTTTGTCTTTCTTTTTTCTTTTTTTTTTCTTTTATTAGTTTGTATGCCGTTACCACATGCTGTTAAACACTACCTAAAATTAAAATAACCCCTTTTCTTTGTCAGGCACAATAAGGTGTTGCATAATAAAGAATTTAAAAAAAAAATTAAACAGGGATGCAAATTAGCAAGGCACGGGCAAAAGCAAAAAAAAAAAAGTAATATAAAAATAAAAGTGAATCGAGATAAATAATTTAACAGCTGAGCACTGGGGATAAGTGAGAAAGGTTTTGCTGCAGCAGATAAGGATTGTTAGAAGATGGCAGTTAAAATTCTCCGAGTCTGTAGTCATCGTTGCCGGCAATAAAGGTTTGTCAAGAGGCGAAGGCTACTACGAGACCGTCAGGTTTTTTTTTTTCTGGTGGTCAGAGCAGCACAGGCAGCTATTTTTAAAAGTGAATGTTGCTCATTTTTTTTCTCAGCGCTAAGCTGTTATGGGTCAACCTTTAAATTGCCAAGTTGGATTCAGAAGGGGATATTTCTCAATCGTTCTTACATGCTTTTGGCTATGTTCTGCTGTTTAGCCTGGATCAAAAAATCACCTGAACCCTTGCCCAAGCCTGGAGAGGGGCCCAACTTTAAAGTTGTTATCCTTTTTTAGCGCAGAGAAAGAATAATGAGACAACTGAAAACGGGGGAGGTGTTCTATTCCCACAGTCGAAGTAATGTTCTTTTCTTTCACCTTTATCTCTGTACTGATGATTTCCCAACTTTTATAATTTTTTTTTTTTTAAGAAAATGCCTCTGTAAAAGCTATCCATGCTTTTACATTCTCATACGGTATATTGGCTTTCTTTTTCTTTTTTTTTTTTTACTTTTTTTTTTTTGCTTGTGTTAGATTTAAATCCAAGGAAACTTGAACAGCTTCATTTTTTCCAGAGTTTCATAGCCTGAGCATTTGCCCTGGAAAAGATTGAATCCCCTACAATGCATTGACCATTTTCTTCTGGAGTTGGACTGCATTGTTGGCCTGGTTGGTCTCAGCGGGTATTTTGGAAAATGGCCTTTTAACGTCATATTCATATACAGAATTGGCAATTGCAAAACCTTTGTTTTCTTCTAAGGAGGTATATTCACTTCAATCCCAAAAAAAAAGAAAGAGGTTTATTAATGATTAAAGAGCAGCTCCAGGGTAGTAAAATCAATGAAATGCTAGCTACCCAGGAAAGATTGCAACTGTACTTAAATCAGAAAGTCTGCTCGATTTACCCTAATCTGTGTTTACTATACACTCTTGCAGACAGATTTATCAGGCTTGTCACAAAAACAGCTGCATCATTGGACCTAATTAAGTAAAGCTGTAGGCACTTGTTTCTGGGGTTATAATTATTTAATGAGAGCAAATTTTTTTGCATGAACTGCTCACGCACACCTGACACAGGGCAATAGTGTGTACTTGTCTCAGTCAGGAGCACTAAGTGTCATTTCTGTCTGCTGCCGCATGCCTCTGAGTCACTTCTAACAGGTATCCCTGATACCAAGAGAACTACAGGAGAGGGACCTCCAGCACACAGCCTGTGATTGACAGTCTCAGCTCTGTTCCTGTGAGCTGTGTGAAGGGGGGTGTTTCTCTCCTCACTGATGTTACTTCACCCCTCCTCCTGCTTTTCAGAGCTGAGAGATTATGTGTAAATTCTGCCCTTTGAATGGATGTAGGGATGACTGTAGGTAAACAGGTACAGCTTATATTGGAGGATTTGTTTAATCGTATATCACCTGAGGCTATTCACTTTATATGTGAGGGTTTACAATTACCCCAATATAGCTTTCAGTTCAGTCAACTAGGAATCAGGAAGGATTTTTCTCCCTTCAGGAGCAAATTGGATCATACTTTGCTGGGGTTTTTTTAGCCTTCCTCTGGATCAACTGTGGGTATAGGATTATAACTATTTTTTTTTTTATTTTAATGGTTGATCTGGATGAACTTTTGTCTTTTTTCAGCCAGATTAACTATGTAACTATGTAACGAAATACAATCCAGATGCATCTAAACATTTTTTTTTTCAATAAATTGCATTCTTTAGAAATCAGCCACAGCCTGAGTAGTAGAGCCTGTCTACTGCCAGCATGCTGCAGGACCCTTACGCTATGTGTAGAAGCAGTTATCTCATTGCACAGTTCTGACAAGCTACTCTCCGATTAGCATGGAGTATGAGCGAGCTTTGCTAATTGCGAGCTATAGGTCTGACTCAGCAGGACCTCAGCAGGATTCCATACTGAGAACAAGGGTCCTCATCTACAGCATGCTGACAGCCACAGCCTGAGTAGAAAAGCATGTCTACTGTCAGCATGATGCAGAGAAGGACCCTTACGCTATGTGTAAAAGCAGTAATCTCTCTGCAGAGCTCTGACAAGCTACTCTCCAATCAGCAGGGAGCATGGACTTTGTTGAAAACAGGGCTATAGGTCTGTTTCTGTGTCGGACCTCTGCAGAGAAACCACAGCTTCCACACTGAGATCCTGGGTATTTGTCTACAATAGAAAAGCCTGTCCCCTGCCAGGGGCTGCCCAATCAGATTCTTCTGTGAGGAAGCAGTAGTCTCTCTGCAGAGGCCCAGCATGCTAGTTGCTGATTGGAGAGCTCTGGCTTTAACTCTGCAGGGTGCATGTCGGACCACTGACAGCATGATGCAAAGAAGGATCCTTATGCTATGTGTAGAAGCAGTGATCTCTCTGCAGAATTCTGCAAGATATTCTCCAGTTAGCAGGGAGCATGAACTTTGTTGAATGCAGGGCTATGGTTCTGATTCTGTATCAGGCCTCTGCATAGAGACCACAACTTCCACACTGAGAACAAGGGTCTTGTATACAGCATGCTGGTAGAGGACAGACTTTTCTACTCTACTCAGTGCTCTAAATAAACTAAGTACACTGAATAGAAAAGCCTATTCCCTGCCAGGAACTGTAGAGTGGGACTCTTCTGCAAGGAAATGGTAGCCTCTGCAGAGGTCCAGCATGCCCCCTGCTATGTCAGACTAATAGCTCTTCAATCAGCAAAGCTAATGCTTCCTGCAGATTGGAGAGATATAACTCTAAGTCAGCATGGAGTATGCTGGACTGCTGCAGAGAGACTACTGCTTCCACACAGATAGCAAGGGTCCCACTCTGCAGTTGCTGGTAGAGGACAGACTTTTCTATTCAGGCTGTGGCTGCTTTCTGAAGAAAATGAACTGTAAGACTTTGAACATCTTTTTGTTTTAAAGCATCTGGAATGCATTTAGCTGATCTGAACTGAAAGTTCATTTTCCACTTCATAAAGTGGAAATAAACTCTAAGAAAAAGATAATGCTTGGAGGTCGAGCTTTATGTAGAGGAGATATCACATTTTCTTTTTTCTTCCCAGCCACCCCCCACTATTCTTGTCTATGGGAGAATGCTGTGCCCCTACTCCCTCAACCACCTAGAATATACACATCACATAATTGTATATCTCAGGAGGCTTCAGGAGGATGCAATAGCCTCTGTCATCCTGGGCCAACTGCCTGAACCCGGAAGTGACAGTCAGCTCCTAATGACTATGGAGTACCAAGATGCGTGCCCAGGCTGTGACACCTAAGCAGCGAATCACAGCAAGGGCAACCCTGGATCCTCTGGGCAGGTAAGTATGTGAAAAGGGAACAATGCTGCACAACAGGTAAGAGGGGGTTAAAAACATTCTGGTGGGGAGAGGGCTGAAGTTCCTATTTAATTCCAAGCACTCATCACCTTGCCTCATAAAAGCAGACGAGCCGTGATTTTGGAACTAATTAAAATTATTTTTACTATGATATCATGCAATTTTAATGTTGTTTTTTTCCTCATTAATGTAAGTAAGGTAGGCTTAGAAGTGTGCTATTACAACCAGTTTACAATAAATAACAACACGTTTGATTTTAATCAGCTTATGTTATCATCAAGTCTATAAAAAATAGATAGCTATACAAAGAGCAACATTTTTGCAGTGTTTTATAATACCCAGAATATCTTTGTGTTTGCACTGTGCTGCACCATGCTGCAGGCAGGAGGAAGTTTTTCCTCAGTCTCCTCTCCCATTCCCCAGTGATCTCCTCTCCCATTCCCCAGTGATCTCCTCTCCCACTGTGATCTTCTCTTCCCCAGTGATCTCCTCTCCCACGGTGATCTCCTCTTCCCTAGTGATCTCCTCTCCACCAGTGATCTCCTCTTCCCCAATGATCTCTCCCACGGTGATCTCCTCTTCCCCAGTGGTCTTCTCTCCCTAGTGATCTCCTCTCCCACAGTGATCTTCTCTCCCCTGGTGATCTCCTCTCCCACGGAGGTCTCCTCTTCCCCAGTGGTCTCCTCTCCCGCAGTGATCTCCTCTCCCCCTGGTGATCTCTTCCCTGGTATTCTCCTCTCCCTCTGGTTATCTCTTCCCCAGTGATCTCCTCTCCCCCAGTGATCTCTTCTCCCCCCAGTGATCTCCTCTCCCCTGGTGATCTCCTCTCCTCTAGTGATCTCCTCTCCACTGGTGATGTCCTCTTCCTCAAGGGTCTCCTCTCCCCCATGGTCTTTTTCTCCCTCGGTGATCTCCTCTTCCCCAGTGGTCTCCTTTCCCCCAGTTATCTCCTGTCCTCTCCTCCAGTGATCTTCTATCCTCTCCTCCATTGGTCTCCTCTCCCCCAGTGGTCTCCTCTCCCCCAGTGATCTCCTCTCCCCCCCAGTGATCTCTTCCCCAGTGATCTCCTCTCCCCCAGTGATCTCTTCTCCCCCCATTGATCTCCTCTTGCCAAGTAATCTCTCTCCCCTGGTGATTTCCTCTCCCCTAGTGATCTCCTCTCCACTGGTGATCTCCTCTTCCTCAGGGGTCTCCTCTCCCCCGTGGTCTTTTCTCCCTCGGTGATCTCCTTTCCCCCAGTTATTTCCTCTCCTCTCCCCCAGTGGTCTTCTCTCCCCAGAGGTCTCCTCTTGTGCAGTGGTCTCCTCTCACCCAGTGGCTTTATCCATTTGGATAGAAAATGCAGATCAAGGCTTTCACGTGTCCTTGAATATATGGCTGAAGAAGCTTGCAGCCAGGTATCTGAAATTTCAACAGAGCACAGGTGAGCATTCATTGATGTTGGCAGCAGGCATTGAAATCTACTAGATCAATAAAAAGTTTTTAGAACTATAGGATTGCCTTTATGAGTATCATTTCATTCTATTAAAATATCCGTTTTTTAAAGCAATATATATATATTTCAAAGTAAGGCAGAACAAGGGTGTTCTGTTTCAAATGCCACTTTATGCATTGATATGCATAGACCCAGTCTGGCTGGACAGTATGGCCACCTGCTGACTTAGCACCCTCTACAGGCAGCTTAACTCTTCAATAAGACACAGGAATTAAATCCAATGCAATTTTACTTCAACAAATTGCATTGCAGATGATGATTTTCCAGTCTTTTGAAGTGTGGAAAGATAATGACTTTCCTGAGACCTTCCTTTCAAAGGGATTTATTTTGGATGCCCTAACATCCTAAACACAATTTGATTTTTTCAGTGTTATTTTATATTGCATAATTGCTTTCAACTGTATCATTTTTTTTTTAAACATTTTGTTCTGGAGATACAGGGTTTGCTGTGAACGTTAGCTCTTTATGCTTCGCCAAGTGGGCAAACTAAATGGCCTGTTCACTGGCTTGCCACAGCAAACCTTTGGCTGATGCACAGCTGCCATTTGAAAATCTCCTGTATTGCTGGCCATAATTGATTTACAAGATTTACTTCAATGGGGGTCAGATTAATGTTTGCAATTTTTTTCTTAGCGAATGTCCTTCAAACCCAAACCCTTACTCATTCAGCTCTTTACTAGCTATGATGCCTTCAGTTCAACAAAGTCTTTAGTTGCTATTTATTATGCTTCTATTACATGTTTACTTTAATTGGGTATTTTCATGTTTGCGTTGTACCTTTAAAAGCATGTGCTTACCATCAAACCCGTCGTCTATTCATGTGCAGATCTGAATGATAGAAGTTTTCATCTGCCTGTACTTGGAGTGACAGTCATGTTGTCATCCTTTGCTCATAATAAGCTGTGTTTGCATTTCACATCATTTCCTGTTATTAAAGTAATAAATGAATTAATGTAACTTGGTAGGAACGTTACATTGCTGGCAGCTACAAACTTAACATGATAATCACATTATAGAGCACAATCATCATTTTCTTTAACAGAGCCATAATATGTCACTTGGAATATCAACAATAGTGCCCCGCAGGGAGAGCACTCCTTCTAACCCAATAATTACCCCTTGGGTGTTAAAAGTGAAAGTGTCTTCATTAGCCGGAGTAATTGTGCTGAGCGTGTCAGAGACTAAGCAGGATTATAAAAGACTATATTATTATATAGAGAACCCTACACACTATTAATAGGGTGTATTTTTAAGAAAATATCTGCTTTTACCCATATTGTTTAGTTATACAACTTAGTTTCAAATTTATTATTATTAATATTATTATCATTAATTATTATTATTGTATTTCACTATATAATTCTGTATCTATAATTTTTTCTCATTCTGATGTTAAGAAGATTTGGCTTTATATAAAAGAAATGGTCTTCAGATGATCTTTTGTGCACTATTGCTCTCTTGACACTGCTGTGAGCTGCATTGTACACACAAAATAACTCCTATATTTTTACGGTAAGGGCTCATGTACACTGCAGCTGAAAAACTCACGTTTAGGAGCTTTTCTGCATTTTTTTCAGCAGCCCCTGAACTCACCCTAATGCTTTCCTATGTATCCATGTACACATCTTCATTTACAGTTGTTTACAGGCATTTGAGTTTACAATTGTTTTTTTGAATGCAGAAAACTTGCGTTCAGCAGTTGATGTTATCAGCGTTTCAAAGGCAAATGCTTGTAAACGCGGCTAAACGTGGCAAATCGTGTTTATAAACGTTTGCGTTTGAAACATTTTTTTAACTCTTCCAGTTCCCAATGCTGTCCAGAGCCTTTTTTCATCATGAAAAATGCATGCAAAGCGTTTTCAAGGTACTCAAATGGACAAAACACTGAACACAGGATGTTCCTACCAAGCTTGTCACACATTGTAATGACCAATTCACACCTCAGACCTCTCCCACCCTTGGAAACAAAGATATGTTAATGACCATTCACACCTCAAATTCCTCATGAAGACCCCCTGCCAGGTGGCCTTAATGACTCACTCCAACAGACACCTTTCCCACCCTTGGAAACCAAAGAAATGTTAATGAGCAACTCACACCTAATCTCAACACATACTGCTCTCTCTGCTTCTAAGCACAAACGTGCATAAATGTGCATAAACACGTTATGCAAACGCGGCTAAACAGACTTTTTTTTAGCCTACGTTTTCCAGCAGTCAGTTTCCATCGTTCAGAAGTGTTGCATGTACATGGGGCCTAAAGGCTTCCAAAACAAAGTTTAAAAACGCTGTCTGAAAGCAGAAGTTACAAAAGTTTTAAAGCAAGACTCAGGCTTCATGTACACGAGCAGCTCCTAAACTTGAGTTTAGGAGCTTTTGGCATTTTTTTTCCAAAGCTCCTAAACTCAACTCCATAAAAGTGTATGTGTCCATGTACACACAGGCTTTTAGCAGAGTTTAGGAGCTGCTGCGTTTAGGGGAGGTTAAAACTCCCTCTCCTGAAATTGGAAGAATCACATTTAGGATAAGAACCCTTTTACTGCTGACCGTGGGAAACCACAAAATCACAGCAAAATGTTGCAGCGATTTGCGTTTTCCCAGCGGTCGGTGGTCAGGGTAGGCTCGTGCACATGGAGCCTTAGGGCACTTTTAAACTAGAGGTGCTCTAGAGCAATCTGCATTTGGATTTCTTTTCAGAACACATTTGAAAGGCATTGAGAAGGCATTGTATTGTCACTTCAAAGCCTACTTTAACCCTTTGTACCCCACACTAGCACTCCACAACTGCGTGCATTGCAGGTGAATACAGGGAGCCCCCATTCTGTAGAATGGTTTGCATTCAGTGGGCGGTACTGATCCAGTTTACAGTTGACTTGTCAGATTTACACAGCAGCCAGGAGTGTGTGTGTAAAATTCCGCCCACTGATGCTTATGTATGGCTTACGTCAATGGCAGTTGTAGCGCTTGCCTCCTCAGGGAGCCACTGATTGCCATGTGTTATTTTCCCAGATTGCTATTGAATACATTATTGTGCTGTGTTTCTGTATTGTTGCAAAATGTCATGCGAATCCATAGAAATGTAACAAATTCTAAATTACATAAACAATCTTTAAATGTGCAAAGATAACTACCAAATATAATTCAGTGCATAAAAAAGTGACACATTAAATCTTATGTAATAGATGACTAAATTGATTGTTTAGTTTCACAAAATAAGTCCACTGAAAATGTGTTTAAATCTTTTAACTTAGATAATGTGAAGGAGCATTCCACCATCATTCTTCTGTCTGCAATGTGTCCACTTGCAAGTACAAGAGCATCACCAAGTGAGATCACCGTCACCAATTACAATGGCCTCTTACCAGATGATGGGACCCTATGTTAGAGGTGGTCTATAATGAGCATATATATCAGCAGTCAACCAGTCACAGTTTCCAAGATCATATGGAAAGCCTCAGTAGTATATACCCAACAGCACTTTCTGAGTCTCACAAATACACTGCCAATGGTCATGCAGTCCACCATTACTCCGTTCAGTATGTTTGTAGCATGTAAAAGACAAATGGGCATACCATAGTGCAAAACTGCCAAGTTTAAGATAAAACACTCACACAAGTATTAATGTAACAAGCACATACAATACCACCATCTTCAGCTGCTCACGGTGGGAGTAAGGATGTCACCACAAGCTGATTACTGCAGGGGCAGCCAGGCACTCAGCAACAGTCAGTCACTCTGGTTCAAAGATCAGACTAGGGGGTTGTCTTTTTGAAATGTGTTTCTGAATAAACTTGGATGAGAGCTATGAGATACTCCATCAACACTGTGCAGTAGCAAGAGGACACCCTTCACTCTGTCATTACTTCAGTCCAGGGGCGGACTGACAACTCATGGGGCCCCCGGGTAATAGGGGATCATGGGGCCCCTGTGTCCATGCCTAAAATCAAAAAAGCCTATGAAAAAGGTACCAGGGGCATCTCATGGGGCCCCCTACTGACCCCGGGCCCTCGGGCAGTGCCCGAGTTTCCAAATGGTCAGTCCGCCCCTGCTTCAGTCTTTACAGAAGAAGCAAAGCAAATGGACAGCACTGAGACATTGTAAGAATGTTCCCAGTCCAATCAATTACCGGCACTTGTGCACAAGGGAAAACAGACAACACTAGGATCCTAGACTCACAATGTCCCTGGATCATTGGATGCCTCCTTCCAATATCAGCCAAACATTCACCAGTGAGCTCTCCAGACCAGATTCCCAGTGAAATCCCTTAATTAGTTCCCAGAATTCTCAGAATAATAGCCCCCCCCCCCCCCCAGCTCTGATCTAGCTGTAGCCTTGATGAGCACTTGTAAAACTCCAGCTGGGCTGCCCAAAAGTTCAGTTTCCCTTCAAGCTGGGAACTTCTATTGGACAAGAACAAGGCTGCCTCTGGCCCCATACTATTTATGTTCTCCCCAGGCACCTACTGGGCATCTTCCACCAGGGATTGACTGAGACAACATAAATATTCAGGCTGCTGATTTGCCTTTTCTAACCCACTACATTCTAGAATTCTCCAGAAGACAGGGGGAAACAATCAAACCTGCATCCAGTGAAGTCCAGAGCAGCCCAAAGCAATCACATACCGCTCCACTGACTACAGAGATGCCAAAAGGGCTAAATTTACCTAACCAACCTGGCAACCTATCTAGGAGGGTTCTACATAGTAAAAGGGTTAAATGGCTTTTTAGGGTTGGAGAAGCTGTTTTAAACTATCCTGGGCCTGTTCTTATGCCAAAAAATACCACTTCATTGGACTCATTAGTTGGGATGAGGATCGGATTCTACCTAAATTTCATTGTAAATCTTGCTGGTAGGAAATTTACCAGGACAAATGTTTTTAAAACCAGGATGCTTTAAATGGATAAACCATCCAGTTCATCATAAAGGGGGACTCAGAGCAGTCTTATGAAGCAGTAAATGTGACTTGTACCAATTACTGGTGGTAAGTCAATGAACATCATTTAAAAAAACATGACCCTGGAAGATTCACCTAAAATGAATGTTTGGTGAAAGTCACATCCACTGCTTTATAAGTAGACCTCATAGAGTCAGTGTATCAGAAGCTGCAACAATAGAGATAGATCATGATCGATTGTGTAGTGAGAAAATAGGGCCAGTTAGCAAACTGTGTTTTACTGCTCTAGATTTTCCCTTTTGCCTTTGTTCCCATTTTTTACAAATCGACCCCCCTGTGGGATTTTTTTTAAACAACAGTCATTTCTCTGTTTCTGAACTTTGAAAGTGATGAGCTCAAATGATAAACTAAGACATGCAGTGATTGTTTTAGTAGTAAATCCCGAGTTGTAAAATCTACGGCACGTATTATTCATAAGAAGTTTGCACATTATTTCTCTGTGCTGAGACAAACGTTACTAAGAAACATGAATTACTCTCACAATGTATCAAATCAGCATTAATATTCAGAAAAGGGCGGAAAAAAGTCAAATCCTTTTCTTCATTTTAAAACATACATCAGCCAGAATTTGCTTGTATAGACTCTTCATAAATACTTCGACTAAAAATGCAAGTGAACCTAAATAACAACTCAGAGCTACTAATAATGTTCAAAACAAAGACATGGAAATGTTTCAGAAAGAAGTTGATGGTAAAGTTTAGAACCAAGGGATATAAATTATTAGTATAGTTAATGTCCTGTAAGTATGCTCATTGGAAAAAACAATAGTCAATACACTTTTCAGCAGACTAAGTAACCCATAGATGACTAAATTTTCTCTCCTTCCACCAAGGGTGGAAGGAAAGAATATCTCTTGATTCCCCCATCAACACAGTAAAAATTGATGGGGGAATGCCTCCCATAGTGTGATTGTGTTCTTGCAGGTGGGGGGTCATGGGGAGCCTCCCCGGCTGGCACAACACAATGATATCTGCTTGCGGCTATAGCCACCGGCAGTAATCAAATGTAGAAAAATCCAACAGGCTGGTTGTACCCAAGTCAATCGATATATCGACTTGGGTACAATCAGCCTGCCTATACATGGATTGATTCTTGGCTGGTTCCTGCTGAACAGGATGAATTTCGAAACAGGTATAGTTGGCTTTAGCCTATAGCCGGAATTATGGACAGTATTTTGCAGGTCAGGTAAAATGTGGTGCGACAGCTAGTATTTGATATAATGTGCAAAATTTTTGCACATTATGACACACTTACATCTGGGTCTGCTCTCCTCCAACAATCTGAGGTCTGCCAGTAGCATATTTTTCTTATCTTCTTCTGGGTCTACCATCTTCTTGCCTCACCCATTGGGCAGGCACTAAAGAAGTAACTTGCACACATGTGCACTGTAGTTACATTATCTTTCCACTCGGTGTTGCATCGTAGTCAATGTACAGATTAAGATTAGGATTTTTTGCACAAGAGACTTAGTCTACCAAAAGTCCCTACCTGCTGGCAATTTTTGTTTTCAGCCTTCACATCTGTTGCAATTGGCTCAATAATGTAATGTGACAGTGCTCAAGCTTAGTCAGTGTCTGCTATGTCAGTGACCTGTCCAATGTCATATGAGAGAAAGTCACATGCTCCCCCATACCCATAAGCACCAGGTACTTGACAGGGTATTGCTGTCAAGGTAAGTATTATTTGGTTTTGGGGGAGGGCCCAAAGTGGACAAAGTGATTAAATCTGTTTAAAGACTCAGCTCAGCTGGCTGCCTGTAGTGCTGTTAGGAAACGTTAGTCTTCATCAAGCCTTAAAGTGATATTAAAGGCAGATAATAACAAACATGTTCTACTTATCTGCTCTGTGCAATGGTTTTTGCGCAGAGCAGCCCCAATCCTCCTCTTTTCAGGTTCCCACTGGCGCTCCTGGACCCTCCCTCCTGCTGAGTGCCCCCATAGCAAGCAGCTTGCTATGGGGGCAACCGCGCAGGCTTGTTCCTGAGCCACTGCTCTGTGTGTCCAATCATATACTAGCATGGCTTGGCCCCACCCCACGCTCTTCATTGGCCCACTGGCAGTGATAGTCCCCGAAGAGCAGCTGCTCTAGTGCACATCACTGGATTGAGAGGGAGCTCAGGTAAGTATTGGGGGGCTGCTGCACACAGAAGGTTTTTTTACATAGAATGCATGAAGGTAAAAAACCCTGAGCCTTTACAACCACTTTAAAACAAGTCCCCTAGTACATTCTGTCATCGACTGCTCAAGCCTTGAAGAAGAGGGAGAAGTGGAGGTTGTTTTTCAGTTGAAACACGTTGGCTATATTTGATGCTCTTAAAATAATTAAATTAATTAAATTAAATTTTGTACAGTGGCTCCTCAGAAAAAATCCAAGAAGTCTAAAGAGGACCTTCCATCTCTCTCTGAAAAACATTGTACTTTTCCTCTTAATCTCAGGTATTTTGTTACAATGAATACTTATACTTACAAACCCAGCAGATCCAGCGCCATCTTTTCTCTTGTACCATTCTTGTACTACAGGTCCCATCCCATGCGTTGGCCTGTGCAGGATCCGGAGTGCTGAGTCCAGATGTGGCACCAACCAGTGTCACTTAGGTGCAGAGCAGAGAGTGGACTATTCACTGTGTGTGATGGCATGGGGAGCTGCAATATCACTGGGGTTGGTGAGCTGCTGCTAGATTTACTGATTTACTATTTGCTTCTAGAGAGACTGAGCCCTTTAGGCATTGAACATACAGCCATCTAGTAGTCTTATTGCTGCCCGCAGGCTCAATTGGGACTATTCTCATGTGTACCAATAGCACAACTGGGCCCCAGCCCTAGCCGGCTGAAGAGATAGGACTAAGGACTGTACCTTTACAGCTGCTACACACAGACCTCCACATATTGTTATGCTAAGATGTACCTCTCAGGGGACATTGCACTATATTCTAGCCATTCTCTTAGAATAGTTATAGTATTATTCACATTGCAGTTAAAGTGGTTTTAAAGGCAGAAAGTATTTTTTACCTTAATGCATTCTATCTGTTGAAGGCAATGGATACAATGCAAAATGTCCCTTAGGATCAAATTAAAAAGAACTTTCATTCAACCAGGTATGTCAGAGGGGCTGAGGGTGTTCTTAGAGCCGAAGCACAGAACAAATAACCCAAACTACCAAGTGGCTGCTGTGGGGGATAGCGCTACATTTGTTATACTGTGTACGACTAATGAGACATCCCCACTCCCTTCTTATATAGAAGGTGTGATGGTATAAGGCTTTAATAGTGCTGCTGTAAATGTTTCCTGGTTTTTTTTAGGTCTTGCTTACAGGTGCAGGAGACTTAACCTGCCCTCTGAAAGCAAGTCACAGTTGAACAGTGATTTGAAAACATTCAGGAGACAATACTGTCTCTTCCTGAATGCCTTTTGTTTCTTTTTAATTTGATCCCAAGAGGGATTTTGCATTGTATCCATTGACTTCAACGGATATGTTTAGCAAGTGGCTTCACCTGCCAATTGCAACTTGCTGAAAATTTGCTACAGCTTGTCTTGGAAATTCGCTTTTAACGAATTTCTCCTTACCGTGAGTACTCGCAGTTGGATGCGCAGCAATCCCCCATAAAGCTGTGCGAATCTCGCTTACCGCGCGACTGCAGCTAAACTCCACGTTTCCTGCACCTCCAACTGGTTTAGCTATCTCGAGATGTGGGGAAAATGGAGCTCCAGTTACCTAGGAATGATCACACGACACTCTGAGGTTGCTGTTGGAATTCACATAGCGAGCGTCTGTATCCTCAGCCTCTTGTTTTATTACCAGTACATACACGCCCCCCTCACGCAGGGGGGGGGGTCAGGTCAATCCCCTCCCACAGAACAATGCAATGGAGAGTGTCTATACACAGAATGTACATCCTGATTAGAGCATAGCCTTTCTTTTTATCTATACTGGAAACCAGTTCTCCCCTCCCCCTTTCCCATGGTGAGCTCTCTGTGGAAAGCAGGCTTCCCATCCTATCAGCTCCTAGTAGTATGTATATTCCCTGTACAAGCATCCCTTAGATTAAACAGTGTCAGTCTGTATCTGAATGGGCCCGATACGATCTTTATTAAAACACATCCATCCAGATACAGTTCAGGGTGGTAATGGCTTGTAAGATATACATGAGCCTACACGCGGAGTTCACACTGCTTGGCGCCTGGCGGTACGAAGTCCATGTGGTACTATGCTGCTGATATGTGGATACAGGCCCGTTGCCTACCGCCGGCGGCATTCGCTTCGAA